CATGTGTTAAATATTTGATTTTTTTAAATCCATTGTTACTTTTCATCGAACAAAACGGTTCGAAATAATCATCTTTAAATATCATACATATTTTAATTGGACAAAAAATATAAAATTCAATAAAAATTGCATTTTTGCATTTTATAAAATGTTTTTGTTCTCGTATTCTCTTGTATTGTTGAACAGAAAAAAAAATGAATAAAAAATGCAATTAGGTCGACGGAATTAAAACAAATAAAATAGATAATACTAAAAAACCTTATCAAATTGTTATAGAATAATACGGATACATTTGTATAATATGGACAATTATCATTAAAATCATCTATTTCCATTTTACAAACACGGTAGTTACAAGTTATTTTTTGCGGAAGAAAAGATTCTGACTATCATTTTTTTTTCTGTCTATAAATAGCTTTTCGTAAAGGAAACTTGCTTCGATGTATCAAGTGTATATCACATTTTCCGAAAGGAAATTTTTATCCAGTTGGTGCATTTGGAACGTTATTTTTTGATTTTCCAAGAGGTTTAGGAAAAAATTTGGAAAATCCACAAACAAAATAACAAGTGAAACGACAAACTATGGCGTTAACGAGTTCATTGGTGGAGCTATTTAGATACATTTCAATTTCAATAAAGTTTTCTACGTAATTTTTATTTGGTATTATGTGTATAAAATTTGTTGACTAAACAAAAGTACTTTAAAATTTAACACGAGGTTCATTATAAGTTGGACTGTTCAAAAAAATTAAGTCGAGTGTAATTTCAGTATTTATTCAGAAAAAGAGTTTTAATAATAAATTTTGACGAAAATCGTAAAAACGTAAATCGTTTCATAACATTTAATATTAAACTGCGCTGTGATTCGATTTTCGTTACCAATGATTTATCGTTGCTTAAAGTTATAAAATAATTAAATTTATTATTACATTTATGTAACCTACATTCCCAACTTCCCGGCTACAACAGTGGCACACCCATCATCAGTATCAGCTCTTTTATTTTTACCACCAAGTACAACTTAGAAATATTAATCAAAAATATAAAAACTCATATATATAAATATACAATAAATCAAATATTGCGTTCAATTCTCAAGCATTTCTCTCAGGCCAAACAATTTTATTCACTTGAATCAAATAAAAACTAAAACAACTCGAATATTTTGAATGCGTATAAATAACTTAAAAGTCGCCATAATATTTATAACACATTTTAACCACGTCTAGAAATGTCATAAGTATTCTGTGGACATTTCGAGCTTCTGCTATTTTTTTTTTTTTTTTTTAACCGAATTACAAAAAGAAACAATATCGAAAATAATGAAACAGTTATTGCAATAAACTTTTCCATTTTTCCTAGCACTTGTTTTACAGTTTTCCTAATTATTCAGAATTCACCGAGTAATATCAAAACCAACCTCCCCAACGCATCAATAAAATTCAGAATGTCACAACAAAGCTCTCGTGCCACATGTAGACTTAAACAAGATTAATTACGGTGGAAAATCTGTTTACAGACAGAAAAAAAAAAAATCTTTGTGAAACCAATGCGTTACTCGCGGCTACCAGAATCTAACATTTGTTTAGAACGCGACTCAAGTATATACCGTACAAATAAATTGAGACTTAGTCGTCTCGGTTTGTGCGAGTGGTCGATATTAGTATTATCGCATCGTGTTGCATACCTGTAATACCGTCGCGAGAAAAACCGTTCGCGTATTATAGGCATGCGACAGACTAGGGGGCATTTTCCCTCCGAAATTTCGGGCAAACGTCAAATCGACAAAATATATAACACAGCGAAGCGAACAATACGCGTTCTCTCCCGAGAGTATAATTTACGCTATACGCAGATAATTTATACCGCGGTTAGCGTTATCCGGGCGGTTTAGGCGATTTGTAACCGGGAATAATAACTCTCGGTTACTTTTGCTCCCCGTAGTCGCATTACGTTCTCGGATATTAATAGTCGAGCCGAACGACAAAAATTCACCGGCGCGCACACATAGCGGCGAAATTACAGTACATTATTAATGCTATTATTATTATAACGGTGGCCGCCGGCCGGCGAACTGCCGTCCCCGCGCGAAAACCGTACACCGCATAGGTACACATCATCTGTGACCACGGCCGACGCGTAATATACGGTCGTAAAACACGTACCTCGTCCTAACAGGTATGTCCGCGGGTTGGTTTCCAACAGAGCTGGACGCTAACTGATAACAAAGTTACAAAAAATGTTACAAAGTCACCAAGTTCAGTGACTTTGTAACTTGTACGTTACTCTTAGTTTTCGTGTAACTTGTAACTCGACGAGTTACTTTTTGTGAGTGTACGAGAATAACTTAACGTATTGCCTTCTATTTGAAACGAAAAAGTTACAAGTTAGTTTTCGTCATTTTGTCACCGGTGTCTCGCAACCGCAAATTTTATTCCCTGGAGGTATCGATATGATGTACTCTAACCTATCATGATAGATAAAAAAAAAAAAATACAATGTGATAACATTTTGAAACCGTTGTATTACTATGAAAACAGTTACTAGAGTCGAGCGACTTACCCAGCTTTAGTCTCCGACTAGGTGCCGGATAGAGGCGCGGGGATTTTGATCGGTTTTCGGTCAGGCGTGTCACGAATATCGATAAACAAAAAAAAAAAAAATTATTATAATAACATTCCTGATTCAGTGATTCGGTCAATGTCGGTCACTACAAACGATAAAAGTGTGAGCGAAAACAAGTGTCGTATTATATGACTGTCGTGTCGTTTATAGATGTAATACAGCAGTGATGGCAGACGTTTTTCCTATGGCAGGTCTTATACGTAAAATATGCCCTTCCTGCGTGCCGACAATCGTATAAATTTAATACGCCATTACTGCATTGTACCTATCTACTCGTCGTTAGCCCGCATCGTGTGCACCTTATGCACATCACAACGTTATATCTCCAACGCATTTAAATACTTAAAAATTACAACTGCCGGGCAAGATCACTTTTTGGTGTGTACGACACGGTTAAAATTAAAATCGTTCATTGATCGAATCGTAGCGGGCGTAGCGACTTTAGTAATTTTGAAAAATCTCAAGAATTTTAGAACGAAAGTAAAATGTTTATTATTTATTTATATATTTATTACGAATACGTCCATTGTTCCGCAGTTTTTTTTCTAACCTGTGTCTTAAGAGTAACAAAAATTTCTGGTTGTCCGAATTCAGACATTTTTCCTGACCGAAAATCACTATAATAACTTACCCACCTATTTGCCTACGGTCGACCGAATACGTTTACCCTTTATATACATATACTTTTTTTTTTTATATAAAAATTGTTCGATACCAATAATATAGGTACGGTTACACGCCAGTCTAAACCGCAGAAATCAACTCTGAATCAACTTCATTAGAGGCTGAGTGTAATAAATAAAATTACGCGCATGACTAAAGAGACATTAAAATTGATTACGTATAGTAAGTTCGCGTTATTTAGTACATTGCGATATTTTTTGGAGTTTCTTTTACTTTTCTTTCGGGACACTTTTCTCGAGGACAAAAGAAAATCCGATCATTTACACCGGGTTCAAATCCTGTGACCGATTCCCGTAGTGATCTACCTGACGTGAATTTTCCATTCTCTCCTCCGCTTGCTATAAACCCGTCGTGGCTTTCGTCGACTATGTTTTAAGTTTACACTATAAGTACACAATTATCTTTCTTATGCAATTATCGTTAAGTTTTGAAACGATATGGTGCCTAATTTTTTTTTTTTTTTTACCTCCGTGATTTCTTGACATTATTGTTGATTTTCTAACAACGAAAAATAATTTCACGTGTATAGAAAGTCCTAGACATTCTTTTCGGTAAATAATATTATAAAAATTCGTATAAATTAGCGTTAATAATAATAAACACGTGGTTATAATTAAAAAGAGCAAATGTAGATTCGTATCGCGATACTTAAATAATAATAAATTTACCTCGAGACCTTTGAACTATCAACCGTACAGTAATCTAAATATGTATTACATTAATTTTACGAAATGAGTTTCAAAACACTAATAGTTATTTAAATATTTATTTAACGATTATTCAAACATTTTTTTATTTTTTTTTTTTTTTAATTTTGAAGTAACTTAAGTTAATTAAATTCAGTATGATTTCGGTTGGGTTTTTAAATTAATAGAATACAGCAAAATTTAAATCATTTTAACGAGACTTAGAAACTTTTTTCATTTCCACTTTAATAGTGATTTTTGTATCATAAATAATAATTCTGATATGATGTGTTTCCGATTGTTCATTTTAAAAAAAAGATAATAATAATAACATTATTATTTTTAAATTGTTTTTGTTTTATAAACACTCAAGTAATACAAATTGCATTATATAATTTATTGCACACTTATTTAAATAGTTGTATAAAAAAAATATTAATATTTACAAAAAAAAGACCTGTAAAATCAGTTTTTACTCTTCGCATATAAATTGTAGATAATTACGTTTTGAAGAAAAAATGTCGATCTTTTACAGTAATCTTCTAAATACTAAACTCATTATCGAAAATGTACTAAACTCGTATTTTGCATTTATTTTAAAACCCCAACTGTAATTCGTTTAATAATTAATAGTATTTCAAAAACCGCAAAAAATAAAATTCTCTTCAAATTATTGCTATTTAAAATATTAAATTTACTTTTTTGTTCCTCTAAAACCTATTTTAAAAGGCTTTTCGTTTCTACATGTTTTGATACACCGTCCATTAAAAAAATAGAGGCAATAAATTCAATTGTAAGGGCCAATTTATTAACTTAAATAAACTGCAATAAAACACATAGCTGAATATTATACCGGATTGATTTGACGTTTTTTATTTTTCTAATAATCAAAACGATTCTTTAATTTCCGTAGTACAATGTCAAAAAACTTTACTGTAGTATGCTGAAAATCGAAATAAAATAACACACGACGTTTTTTTTGTTATTAAATAGTTTACATTTTCATACATGATTTTATATACAATTTTTAAATAGGCACTAACAATTATAATATATTGATACATAAAAATCTTGACAATAATACAAAATATATATTTATAATAATAAAAGAATCAGCGAGAATAAGTAGAGAATAAAATGTCCGATATAAATTCACCTGAAATAAAATTTCGATTTTTTTTTTTTTTTTTTTTTAAACAGTAGATATATGAAATAGTAATTAAATACATTTCCATAATATCGGTAGGTAGGTACTAATCTGATATCTGATAACGACATTGTAATCATACACAAATAAAACTATTGGTTAATGATCTGAACGATAATGATCGATTGTTCTTTTCTCTATTAACGGTATTCTTACATTTCAATAACGATAATAATATAAAATGGTCTATGGCACGTCGTAGTGGCAATCGTGCTAAACGCTATCGAGTACACAAAATAGTCGTGTTGTATATATATATATATATATATATATATATAATTATAATACATACAAACACATATAAATATAAATTTATAGAAATATAAAGTTTAACGCTTAAACATCTTTGGTAAGTAATAAACGCGATTTTCATACTCTTTACTATCCTAAACGCACGTTCAGTAACATTCGAAAACACGGTAATATTATAATACTGTAATATTTTGCGCGATTAATTTTACTTGATAGCCGACGGGATCACTTTCTGTGGTAAACTGTATTATTGTGTTCGAAACCCCGCATTCGTATCTGTCGTAGTTACAAATACCTCTCGCACGTTTGCTCTCACTTTTTGGATTAAAATATTATAGGCATGCCGTTCACGATTTAAAACAAAATAAGGCACGATATTTTTATTTCGAGTTCGTGATAATCTAATCGTGAATAAAATCTACGTCCGGTTACCGCGTCGTCGTCGATAACAATTATAATCAAAACACTCACGGGCGAATACGAAAATGATGTCCGAACGAAATTTTGAATAACTGTAGGGACTTTCCTATTATACGCGCTTATCGTTTTCGATTCGAATGTAACATACAATGGTTTGAATAAGTCAGGCATATTAGAAGTGTTTAAAAAAAAAAAAAAAAATGTATTTTAACCTAACTATACCTAATCATTATATACTATATTTTAATTATTTCTTGTGCTCGAAAACGAGTTGGTTGAGCTTTCATCAGTCTTGGGAGTCGATTGTTGCGGATACGTCTGTGACACGACTTGTGGTGTCGAATCACTGTACACGTAGCTCACTTTAGGCGACTTGTACGAAACATAATTTCCATTTGACACCTCGTTGACACTCAAGTGGTTGATTTCACTGGATAACGTTTCGGTTCCTCTGGATCCCTTTCCATCTCGTGTACTATAGAAAAGCGCCATATTTTCTTGATTTTTACTAGTTGATTCTTTGCTGGACTTCTCTATACTGGCGTTAGATGCTGCCGTCGCCATTTGCTGTACTTCCGACCCTTGTGGCTGGCTATCGAACGAATTTTCTGATTTCTGTTGATTTTCTATGGCTGACAAAATATCTTGAAGCAATCCATTGGAAAGCACTTGATCGTGAGCAATGTTTTCACCACCTCCTTGACCAGGTTGAATTTGAAGCATATAATTTCCTGTAGAACCTTGAACGGGATACTCTTGTATACCGTTAAAGTCTACCGATTTCGATCCAACAACTGATGAACCTTCTAAGCCTAATGAATTTACTATATCATTTACGTTTACTCCGTCTTGTTGGTTTTGATAATTCGTATTTGCGGGTTGCTGTAAATTAGCCTCTGCATCTCTCGGTTGCTTACCATTTTGACTCTCTTCGATTTGCTGATTTAAGTCGAATGCTTGTTGTGGTGTTCCGAAATTCTCATTATTTGGCTGTTGAGCCCCATTATTCACCGAAACTGTTTGTGTTACATGTTGATACGATTCAGCAGGTGGCAAATTGTACAATGTAGATGGTCCTTGATTGTAAATCGCATTATTTGACGAATCTTGTATCGTGGGAACGTTGTACTGCTGTTGATTTTGAGAATCTGTTTGACTTTGTTCTGGTGATGGATTGGAAACAGAACTATAATCCGAAGAACTCGATGAAGCGGCGTACGCATCACTTCCAACTGCTGTTACTTCTGGAACTGGTGGTGGTATATATTGTTCACCTTTGAAATTATTATATTGTGTAGATTCTACAACACCAACTGGAACAGGTTGTCCTATTTTCACTGGGTTTCTTGGTTGAATATTCGGTCCCGGTATTTGTTTTCCGGATGTTTGTCCATATGCTAAACCATAATTAAAGTCTGCTGGCTTTTGTGATGCTAAATCTGGCGGTGGCGTACCACAACAGATTGCTATTGGTGCACCAAACGTACCTTCTGGTGGAAGACCACTACTATACGATGAGCCAGATATCGCAACATACTGAGTTTGTAATGAGTTATCAATAGGACTACCGTATGTATCTTTAGAGGACGGTGTTTCGTACAAATCTTTAGATGGCGCTCCGTATGACACGCTGGGTGGAACTCCATATGAATCTTTCGGAGGTGCTGGCTGATATGATGGTTTCGATGGTGTTCCGTATGGTTCACTTGGCGGGGCACCATATATTCCGCTCAGTGGAGCTCCGTTTGATTCCTTTAAAGGTATCGGACGATATAATGGCTTAGACTCACTTGGTGGTGGTCCATATGATCCACTGGGTGGAGGACCGTATGATCCACTAGGTGAAGACGTATACAAAATTTTGGGTGGTAAATTATATGATGGCTTAGGTGGTGGGCCATACGAATCCTTAGGTGGTCCGTAATATTCTTTTGGAGGCGATGCAAAGGATCCACTCGGGGGTGACCCATATGAACTACTTGGTGGAGGTCCTTGAGAATCTTTGGGTGGGGGGCCATAAGAACCACTTGGTCCACTTGGCGGTGAACTATATGATCCACTCGAAGATGGTCCTTGAGAACCTTTGGGTGGGGGGCCATAAGAACCGCTTGGTCCACTTGGTGGTGCACCATATGATCCACTAGGCGGTGGTCCTGGAGAATCTTTGGGTGGAGGTCCATAAGAACCACTTGGCGGAGCACCGTATGATCCACTGGGCGGTGGTCCTTGGGAATCTTTGGGTGGAGGTCCATAAGAACCACTTGGCGGAGCACCGTATGATCCACTGGGCGGTGGTCCTTGAGAATCTTTGGGTGGTGGACCGTAGGAACCACTTGGTGGAGGACCGTATGAGCCACTGGGGGGTGGACCATGAGAATCTTTGGGTAGTGGACCATAAGAACCACTTGGCGGGGGACCATATGAACCACTTGGAGGTGGGCCATATGAACCACTAGGTGGTGGACCATATGAATCTTTTGGAGGTGGTCCGTAAGATCCTTTTGGAGGAAATCCATATGATCCTTTGGGTAGAGATACATAAGATATTTTAGGTGGTGGTCCATACGAATCATTTGGTGGTGGACCATAAGTTCCACTAGGTGGCGGTCCGTATGAATCTTTAGGAGGTGGACGATATAATGCTTTAATTGGAGGTCCGTATGATCCACTTGGTGGTGGTCCATAAGAACCACTGGGTGGAGGACCATATGAACCACTGGGTGGAGGTCCATATGAATCTTTTGGAGGTGGTCCATATTCTGGTTTGGGCGGTGGTCCATATTCTGGTTTGGGCGGTGGTCCATATTCTGGTTTCGGTGGGGGTCCATATTCTGATTTGGGTGGGGGTCCATATTCTGATTTGGGTGGGGGTCCATATTCTGGTTTCGGTGGTGGTCCATATTCTGGTTTGGGTGGTGGTCCATATTCTGGTTTCGGTGGTGGTCCATATTCTGGTTTTGGAGGTGTTCCATATTCTAATTTAGGTGGACCATAGGAATCAGACGATTGCTTAGGAGGAACTGGAAGTCCATAACTAGTGTCTGGTATAAGCGGAGGTGGTTTATACAAATTACTTAATGACTGAGTGTGGGAATTTCCATGGTAAGAATTACCATCTTTTGGTGGATCAAAATCTGAATTTGGAGAACTTTGAACATTGTACGACGTTGACACTGATGATGGTGAAACTCCATAAGAGGTATCTACGGAGTTAATACTATTCTGATTGCAACACTTATTATCTCCTTGGGGGGGTGGAGGTCCATAAGCCGTTCCAATAGAAGACTGCTCGTAACCATTGTTTTGCTTAATATATGGAATTGATACACCCGGAATTGGTTGCCAACCATGGTAAGAGATATGGGGTGGAGTGGGTGGAGACGGGACTCCCGGAGGACCTTTCGCGTAAGGAATTTGAGGAACACCGTAAGAGATACTCGGAGGTCCAGAAGGCGGGCCGTACAAAGGCTTTGGTGGTTGAGGCACCCCGTATTCTGGTTTAGGTGGACCGTACTCGGGTTTTGGTGGTGGTCCGTATGAATCTTGTGAAGGTGGTCCGTAATCGGGTTTTAGTGGTTTAAAGCTAGGTTTCGGAAGACCATAGACAGGTTTTGGTGGACCGTAAGAGTCTGCCGGTACCCCGTAAGTAATGCTCGGTGGTTTGAGTTCGGGTGGATTGTAGGACTGTGGAGGCCCGTAATTTTGCTGAATTCCGCTATAAGACGGGTGTGGTGCACCGTATGAATCTGACGGTACGCCGAGACTCGCGTCTCTTCGTGTTGCTGCTTTGTCGTCGTTTGCACCGGAATTGATCACAGCGTTTGCACTGGCTATTAGCAGTAGACTCACGATAAACGCCTGAAACAATTAATGCGATGACATTAATATGGGTTTGAGATTGAAATAAAACGTTATTGGTTACTTCAAACATAATTCACTGACGAAAAATAGAAAAAAAAAGATATACATATATAGGTATTATACGAGATGTAAACGGTAACTGCATATTATATTTATATTTTATAAGACTTTCCCTTTAGCTCATTAAGCAATAACACGAACCAAAAAAATGAAAAATAGTGTTGTCAAGATGTATAATAATATACTGTGTGGACAATGACAGACTACATTAGAAATACATTGTTTCGACAGATGAAGAACGGCGTAATATTATTCCGAATGTAATCAAGTGTCGGTTAGTGCTTAGTAATGATGTGTTTTACGATTCATTTAAACTTTCGCCTTTTGTTAAAGAAAAAAAACCTATAATGTTATACGCAAATGTATACCTAGTAAGGACAAACCCAAAAACGTGCGGTACAATTATGCAAGTATGAAAAAAAGTTCAAACTTTTTACGATGGCCCTTATGTACGGTTTCGTTTAACCGTAACGGGGATTATTATTATTCTATTTGTAACGCTCGAGATAAGAGCGGTTCACGCGATTATAATGCCGATACAAAGCCGTCGATTACAATACCAATACAATGCCGTTAGTGTCTAAACGACTATAAATAAATTATTACATTATTATACGAGCGAAATTGAAATCGTCCTCGAAACAATAGGTTCGCATAAACGAGATGAATCCGCCACCGCCTGTTACACAAAGGAAATTGTACGTTTAAAAAATTATATAAAAAAATACAAAATACGAATATGCCGAGAGCTTGGGAAACCATTCAAATCCCGAAACATTGCCACTGCACTGCAATGTTTGTTTTCACATAACGGTGAAAACTCTTGATTTTTTTGTATTAAACATCATAGTTATACGTGTTAGCATCTCGTGCGAACATTATTTGCGAACGAATAGAAATTACCAAAGAAAAAATTCGGCTAGCTAGGATATAATATGATAACGCAATTTAATGTATATCTGTAGGCCACGATACAACATCGTTTACGAAAAACGATTCTGAGCAAAGTTCGATTAAGCGCGTTAGAAAGAACTAAGAATAGAATACTCGGTAAAATTGCATGTCTCTAAGAATATATTCAAATACTCCAGAACAAAAAAAAAAACAACAAAACTGAAAATAACAGAAACCGTTACTGCGTGAACTATTTCATATTTCCGACGAGTTTTTTTTTCGTTTGTAAATATTAAGAAAACTATAAAGGAAATCGAAAAATAAACTCAACGAACCGGCTAGACAAAATAATTTACCACCAGAAACTATCCCTGAAGTCGACGACTGGAGCAAGAAGAAAAAAGCAAACACAACACAATCCGTTCGTATGTTATAACTAGGGTGCGGATTATAATGCGAATTGCAATTTTTTTCAAATGACCTAAAGCAATGCTTTCCAAGCACAAAATTCGTTTCACGTATTAAATGATTCAAATATGGAACTACTTTTATTTGAAATTTTTCGGCATTTTTAGGTTCTAAGGCACTTGTTATTACAAACATCCCAGAGTTGTCAGAAAATTTAATAAAATTAATTTTGATTTCCTCCTAAAGAAAAAAAAAAAAAAATGATAGTTTTATTTTTTCAAATGCATTATAGATTTGCCGATTGTACCAGTGAAATACGATGTCGGCTGCAAAGAATACGAAACGCTATTTACCGAAATCACAATGTAACTCGTGTCGCACTGAATGTGCATCACTGCAAGTGCAATAAATTGTGTTTTTTAAGGCATTTTTATTGTGTGTGTGTGTGTTTTTTTTTCAGATCATTAAAATCCCAAGAACCTTCGGTTACATCGTGCAACGTATAGGATATCGAATCCGTGCGGCTTCGGGCCGGCCGCGGCGTTCGCTTTTCGGACGGCCGTTGCTATGTTTACACGCGGCGAGAATGCCTGTACACACTCCACGGAATAATGCGCGCGTATTCGCTATAAACACGAGCGCGTATAATGAATCGATCCGGTCGGTCGTGACCGAGCAATCGACCAATACCGAACCGTCATCGTTGTTACCGTTGATGTTCGGACGACGCCACCCGCCGCCTTTACACGAAGCAAAACGGCGTTTGTCGATATTTTACGAGGCGATGATTACGTCGGATTCGCGCGATTTCTAAAATTTTCACACAACGCGACCGTTACTCGTTACAATAACAAACAATAATACCAATAACTGCTCGAGTGTTTACCCGACTCCGCAGCCCGTCTCACGCGCCGTGCGTTGCGTTATCCACCGTTGTTGTGGACAATTGTGCCATAATGTAAATATCGTTACGGATCGCATTTACCGTCGTCGTTCGGACACGCGGGGAGCTGAATACGTACGCCCGTACGCAAACATCGACGCTCGATAAACAGGCACCGTTTAGGTACCGTTTCGCTCCTGTGACCGCTACAATATTATTGCCGGCCGCGGTGCACAAACGTCGGAAACGCGCGTCTCGCGCGGGTCAAATGACGTCCAAATTGAATTGCCCGTAGCCGATTTACACCCGCCCGGTAAAGTGGCAGGGTGTCCGGAAATACGCGTTCCGTTTCGGATTACTCGCACTCGGGAATTTCAATTAAGTCTCGAGATACTTGCGTTTCTTCTCGCAGGTCGTATTCTACTATAAATGGGCGCCTGCGTATACACCAGTTAGTTGAAAAATTAGTTTACCGTCGAACTTGCACAATAATCCGTTATACATGCCGTGAACTTGACAAATTTAGATTTTCTCCGTAAAAAGTCTGACCTTTCACACTTAACATTTTCATTACGTTTCGGTTAAACTAACCGTTTGAATACTTTGAATACGTTTGAAAATTTTTTTTTTTTTTCGAAATTCCGCTATCATCCGTTCTCGAATACACTCGATTACACGAACTGTTGCACTGTTAAGTGTCTAAATATTTTAAACGTTAATTAATATTTGTTTTTTTTTTTTTTTCTTTTATGCGTTCTCGCGTTAAACTTGACGAGGCAATCGTTTACTTTTTATTGGGCAACTGTTAGTTTTTTTTTTTTTCGATTTGGTATTTGATTGAGTAATAAAATATTTTTTTTTTCTGTTAGATACATTTTACTGGGCTATTAAAAAAATAAAAATAAAATAAAAATAATAATTGAAATAGAATAACATCGTTCGACGGTCAAATAAAATAATAATTTTAAATCCGAATTCCGGTCTGGTGCGCAATAATAACGAACCGATAATAACAAATCTATTATAGCGCCGCCCGTCTGAACGTAAGTACGTGCTATTTTTTTATTATTGTTTTTTTTTTTTTTTTTCGACCCGTATCGCGTAAACGTCGACTATTCGGGCGGACGGCCGACTGTAAACGTCGATTGTCCGTCTGGGAACGTAGCGAGGAAAAAATAATTCGCGCCCGGACCGATAACGATGATAAACGCCGATCGATAGGCGGAAGAAACACGACGCGTTCGCGCGCGCGGATCATCCGCCGGGCCGAACCGCACATTGTTATAATGATTGGTACACTACTGTGATGTTATTGCTATACAGGAGATGCCGTTTTTGAACGACAATACGCGCGGTAACCGCGGCGGTTAGGTTCCGACCGCGGTCGCGGCACGACAATAATTCGCCGAGAGTGAGACGACGGGGAGGAGGGTGGACGTTGAAACGGAAACATTACGATTGCGTGCGTGTCTGCGCGCGGTGCTGACAATAACAGTCGCGATCATTATTCCGCCGTCGCAGTCGATTACGATGACAATGATAATAATAACGACCGACGAGGACGACAACAACAATAATAATAATAATAATAATAATAATAGTAATACGATATTATTATCATTTTACCGTCCGCCCCTCCGGCCGCGTACCGACGCGACGGCGGCGCGGCGCCCGCCCGTCGCGCGACTACCGTGCGGTTAGGTTAGGTATAGACAGCAGGTAGCGTGGTTTTAATCGCGGCAATTTATTAGGCACCTGGTGACGGACGAACAATCCCGACCGAGGGATTCAAAATAGCCGCCGAGTCGGTAGACATTGCGGATCGGGCGCGTAATAAATTTATCACAACAAGTAATAGATACGATACTTTGTTCTAAACGTCGAGAGCGTTAACTTTAATAATATTATTGATTCTATTTTAAATGACAAAATCCAAATGAATTTTTTTTTTTCTACACTGTCACTTTTACTAAAACTGTCGATTTTTCGATCGATGTTTTTTTTTTTTTTTCCATATAATTTCTCCCCTAGTTGTTATCGCACCGACTCGTATTTCAGATCAATGGACGTGAACTGAAATCGATCGGCTGATCGAGTGCCACTTCAATAATGTTGGACACTCTTGTAGCGTCCTCGATACACACTCAATCACGAAACCATAACATTGTCGTTATAAACAATCGTGTTCTGTTTTAACTATTGCTATAATTTTTATCAGGATTCAGGAATTATAAACACAATTTGAACGATTGTATTACGTCTGGGAGGCATGGTCCCTTGCACTCAACCCCCCGGATCCTTCAATGCCGTAGATTAGACTGGAACTATTTTTTTCGTCGATATTTTTATCGAAATGCCGTCATGTAAGAGAAATGTAAATTGAGTGTTTTTTGTTTTCATTATTAACGATGTGATCTTTAACACTTGAAATACGCGTGCGGTTCGTGTATCGTGCAATCAAATTTGCACCTTGCTGATTTAAAACAACAGCGGTATTATCGGTTTCGCCGTTGTCCGGACCATAACGATAAAATTAGTTTAACGCATCGTCGATAATAATGTTTCGCAAGAGAAATTTATCGACCGTGATGCAAGACCGGCCGAAAATTCAAATGAATAAACTTATCAATTCCGACCGCATTCGTAATACGTCAAAATTTGCACGAATTATCAGGTACGCCTTCGGCAATTTCTACGGACGATCGACATGCAAAACTCGTCACGTAAATAATATGTATCGTTTAAGTACACGTACATGATAAGTATCTTACTATTTTTTTTTTCTTTTTAACTTTAAATATGCATGAGAAACATTGTTTTAAAAAAAAAAAAAAAAAAAATATAAGTGAAACGGGAGAAAACGTGACGACAACGACGGCGGTCATAATAATAATGCAATTTACATATTATTATTACATAGGTACTGTGGGTACCTACCTAATTATTAGAATCGCAACGCGGATAACGCATATGCATACCATTTTGTTTTTGTTTTTTAATAATAACGGATTTCTATACGCCTACCAACTCGAACCAATTAATATTGGACTCGTGTATTTCGCGTTATAAAACTATTCTATTCCTATTAGAAAAATATGTAATTCTTACGGCAGTATTGTTAAAAATGTTATCCAAACAAGGTAAGTTAGTCATTTTTCGATTAAATACAGCGCAGACACAATTTTGAATTGATTATAAATTTGACAATCTATAGATTTAGAGCGCATTTTAATAATAAAAAAATGTGAACCTTACCATGACAGTACTTGAAATATTTACTATCATTATCGCGACAGAACTACAACAATCGTGTAGGCGATAGTGTTTACCGCGATAACTTTCATATTGTTCCCACGGTGACAGCATAATACAACTCTCACGACAATTAATACTATAATTGTAACAGATATCACGTTAAACTACCGTAGTGTGACCGGGGCATTACAAACGTATTTGAAATCTTTAAATGTACTAGAGTAATAATATTATTACTGATCCACGATAGACCGTCTAAACTCTCATGTTGCGGGTGAAGAATAAAATAATTTCGATTTCAATTACCTATTAAAAACGAATCACTACGAGATTTACAATTCGAGTCATAATAATATTATAATAACGTAGGATCTACTACAGTAAATATAATAATATTATTATTGTACGCGAAAACCGGTTGAATGATAACGCGAATGAGTAAGTATTTATCTCGGTATAAAAATTTAGTATTCATAATATCTAATTTGAAGTAGGCAATATCCGTGCAATTTAAAATAGCGTGATTACAATAAGATGGCCATCAATTACCTATAATTCTGTATTTTTTTTCTAAATATCTTTATAGGCCGTATACAGGCTATTAGCTGTTTCTTTTGCTTTACGTGTCGACCAAAGTATTTAGTATTAAGTATTCCCTTGCCAATAATCAGCGATTTCAACCACATTCCCTGCAGTATTCCTGCTGCAGTTATCTCCGCGAAACCCTTTATTTTTCCTGTTGTTCGTAGTAATGGACATTCCTAAAGTTCGACGTCTGCATTTATTTACATTCACAATATTGAAATTTTCGATAAAACTACGTAGGTTGACATTAAAAATTTTCCTAATTTTGATCTAATCTTATTTATTGTTTCCCACGTAGGACAGTTCAGATAATAACGACGAGAATAATACTGTTGGTCATCCCCATACCGTCTGATGTACCCCCCCATTAACTCGTTTTGTCTATACCCCTTCATTCTATCAGCCTTTTAGCTGCTAAACATCTAAACCGTCTTCCTCATATTTTATGCTCCAGTCCAACTCTCGTGACTGAATAAGCTACATCACAAATTCTCGGATACTATCCATCTGTCTCTCTCTTTAGTCTGTCGTTCGCTCAAACCCAGCTCATTCCGGCCTTTTTCTACATTCCAATATTCAAGTCTTAATAATATTATCTTTATAACGTTATTTCGTTAGTTTACACTCATATTATTAAAAATAATTCACTAAATTTTTTTAGACAATTAAATATGAATTGAAACAGTTTTTGAAAAACCCTATAGCTCGACCAGCGATCGTCTATTAAAATATAATGATGTAAGTTCATAGAAACGTAGATACAATATGTATAGAGATGTTTGTATTTTGCCACGAAAATAAAATAAAACATTTCCTATGAAAAGTTTAAACATGTCTGGTACGGCTACTTTTACTATTATTATTATTTTTTAACTAACCAAATGGTTTTCAATGCTGGTATCTCTTTGACTCGTTTATAAACGTACGTAGATACGGACAATCACGATATTTTAACGAATCCGAACAGAATTTGCCGCCGGTGTAAAATTAAAAAAAAATAAATAAACACAAGCGTATAGATACCGAACAATACTGACGTCGTCGTCTCTATGTAAACCGTTTCACTAAAATAACGACAAACGAAGCGTGCACGAAACGCGTCTGATAGACGAATTAATTATACAAACCGTCCAATTGTTATTCGTGCACAATTTTATTAAAGATGTCACTGATCTCACATTATTTATATTTAATTTGCCTCTACGTCACGTTTATGCAACATTAATGACATGTCTCTCGGTATATATATAAAATGCCTGGACACAATGTTGTTACAATATTATTCTTGTAGGTGCCATTTTGATGATTTCATTTAATTTTTTTTTGTAATCGTAAATCCTTGAAAAAATATCGACTTCGTGGCGCACATCCATCAACCACTAAGAGGCCTGAGGCCACTAATATTTCACTAGATCGTACTATAACAACAATATGTTAAAATGTACTCTGTGAGATCAGGAAAACAAAATTGACCGACCGTTCCGACGTCAGCATGGATCACCGCCGTCGCCGTTGTCGTTATATCTTATAATAATATCTTACATAATTTACAAAGGATAATTAACGGTGACACTTTTTTTCTATAAACAGAAGATAATATTAAGTTTTGCTGTGAAAAAAGCCGTAAAACGATACAAATTTTGTAAACAGTTGACAATAAAATGAGAAATAAAATTGCCATATACGCATCGCCAGAGACGAATTTTCCACATAGAGCTAAGCACAGTCATAAGAGTGCCAGAAAACAAAAATGACTTCGAAATCCCAGTACCATGTTATTTCATATACCCACCAAACATACTTGTTTAAACGATAGCAATTATTATAACAGACCTACACTAATATTATTTTTCCCTTCACTCACAACTAAACAAGTTATTACCGGAAACGTATATAGGTACACAGATACCATAAATAAGACAGGGTGACGTTTGAAAATTGTTAGAATAAAAAAACCGGTTACCCGCAAAAAAATGGTTTCATCGTATAAGTTTTATCGCACGATATAAAATGTTTTCGTTCTTTCTTGTTCACTTACATATTTTTATAGAAATGAAACATAACAATATGAAGATACCCGAGTGTCTATATAATACTATGTAAATAATTCTCGTGTTCAACATTAGGAAACTACATAACTCTATTGAATTTTGGACCTTATACCGCGTCCGAAAGATAAAAATAGAGGGTGTCTCACGGATATGTGACAAATGCAATACATTTTTTTTCTGTTCAATATTTTTAAGGTTTGCTTTTTCGCTACTAATTACTAGAGCTTGTTACAAACGTTTACTAATGACGAGCCGTTTTTGAAATTTACGACAATTTAAATTGTTTTCATTACCACTACTAAATGATATTTATATATAAATTAATCGATTCACCAATTTGTCAATGAAAAAGCATTTTGTGAATGAATTTTGTAAATTTAAAATTTGTTTAGAAAATGTATTGTTAGTAAACATTTTGTAGTGTAAAAATGTTTTCGAAATAAATTTATAAAACGGCGGTCTTGGAATGTTTAAATTTAATTTAAAAAAATATATATTTATGTAATAGAAGAACCATAGCGCAAGAATTCGGTAATTGTTAGAGAAAAAAAAATGTAAAACTTAAAAATTTTGAACGGAATAAAAAATATTACATTTGTCAGATGTGTGACACCCTGTATATCAATTGATGGATATTTGTTCTCGCTCTCGTATAAAACACCGGTAGTTGTGCCTACATACATCACCGATGCGAATAATAGTCGTCGTGAAACTGAAAACTGTATACTTAAATAGTTTAATAATATATTATTATTCATATTACGTTATGACGTGATGCTTACACAGACGAACCGTTTTCTTTTTGAATAATAACAAGAACGAAACACGTCGTTTTTTCCCGTTTTCCCCCTCCCCCTCTCCCAATCCGAAGACGTGGGCACGCGGTACGTTATCGGGTCCTGGCGGTGACGGCGATGTCCACGAGATAATAAAAGGAAAAATCATCGTCGACCAATCAAACTCGAACGACGGAAATAATCGAAAGAAATCGTTTCTCCAGGTTGTGTTTACGTATTGTCATCGTGATAATTCACAGACCGCTTGTAGAAATAACGATGCACGTACAGTGTATACTTATAATACCCATATGGAAAACTGTCACCGAAAACCCCCGGAGAAAAACAATAATTATTTAACCGCGAATTACGGCAAATATGTATATTTTAATGGCCCTATGGTAACCTATTTCGCGAAAACTAAACGTGTGTACGACAATAAAGTTTTTTGTAAATTTCGAGCGAAGCGAGGAACGTATCGGTTTTATTGTTATGTGATTTTTTTTTTTTTTTTATGTCTACATATGACTTTTCTGCCGGAAATCTTGTTCAAATCAAAAATTGTAAAAATTATCTTGTAGAATTTTCGATCTAGTTTATACATTGGGAAAATTATTTGTTTGCAGTTTTCTTAATAAATGGGAATAATACTGACAAATGTCTGCATAATGTTGGTTGATTTCTACGTTTATCTTGGCAACAAAGGAAAATATAATACGACTAATAATATTTTGCTCAGAATCGTTCACCTTTAACAATGGTTTATCGTTGCGTACTTCAGATATGAATTGAATTACTATTTATATTCCGCTGTCCAAATAGACCAGCAGAATCAACCTATTTTATTATTTTTTTCAAAATCGAAAGTTGTATATGATAGTGCTCATCGCCGGCGTTCGAATATAATACAATGCTAGCGTTAGTTCGATTTTTTTTTTTTGGTCATTGTCCTTCTCGTTAGAAAAAAATGTTGAAAATTTAAAAGCCGTTCGTATTTAAACTTATAATTCATGTTGAGATTTACCTAAATAGGTAGCTATATTCTATCGCAACTAGATAAATGAGGGTTATAGATATCTTAGATAAATAATCGAATCATCTGAATAAATATGTTCGAATCGTACATTATGTACCGGCCGTACGTATCGTACCGGTAATATGGTAATTAGAAAAATAATTATCTATTAAGTTATATCGATCACACGTCCTTGTTAAAATCTATATGTGTACCAAATAATCCAAATCTGTTGCACTTAATTATTTTAAGCACTATTTAAAAAGTTGTTGATTACTTGTTTGTCTCTAGATATTTAAATTCGTATGTATCTTCATCGAGATAATTATTTGAGCAATTATCTCTTGTCTTCATCTAGTTGTTTTAAAATTTATTTCCGTATAAGTAACACTGATGTTTTGTGTGAATAGTCAAGAAACATTCAGAAATACACAATATTTATTCTGTGCGCAAACGTGTTGTGGCAATTTTTTTCGTGTCGCTAAAATTTGTCAGTCGGGCATTTTTACGAGAAAAAAAAATGATATTGGACTTTTCTTTCCCCGGGCATATATTCTGGGATTCTTAACTCTAGTCAGACCGTCCGGCGGCGCGATTACGTCGTCGTCGTTTCGTTTGCTGAGTGTCACTGTGTGAATCTATAATATTGCATACCCTCGTCTCGAAAATGTACCCTGACTTGGGGGTCACAACTATCTTATATATTCTATATGTATATAGGAAAACGTTTATCCTCTCGTCCCAGCACACGGTCGAATCGTTTTACCCACAGAATGACACGCATAAATATTACCCTCTAAGATTAAGTTACACGAAGATATTTTTACGTAGGTACTTACCTACTTACCAACCGTTCACTCTCTGAAATTTCACCGTCCGATAGTAGTATAATGTTATGAATAACTATCGGGTGTTTTTTTTACCACGGAGGATATTCAAAAACACCTTTGCTCCCATATAATGACGCGACCGATAACGGATATTTTTTTTATACACCGTGGTATACACGAACTCGGGGAGGATAAAACTTTGATTACCTAAATACAGTATTAATTATATCGTTATAGGTTATTAAAATAAATAGGTATCTATGGTATTAAGGTGCACTTGCAAATACAGACTTACCAAGCTTTTAAGTAGTTTATATTTTAAATATGTCTACACGGGGACCGTGGAACACGTCTACTCGGGCTCCCATGATAACAGAAAAGAAAAAATCCACGAAAAAATGCAATCATATTTTGCCTGTGACCCATCTGACATCGTTTTGAATAAAAAATCGGGAGTTATATTTGATTAAATGAATTCATGAAGCAATATTAGAAAATTTCAGGGTATATTTAATACATTTTTTTTCTTTATCAGACGTACAGGGGAAGAACTGACCCCATCTCGGGAAACCGTTCGAAACATGATCTAAATTATGTATACTTAGAAACATATGTTAAAAAAGTAAAAAAATTGTTTTCCAAAATTTTATCTACAAACAAATATTTTCAAAATATGAATACCTAGATTGGTCACTCTGTATATTATTATTATAAAACCAGCGTAATGATGATCATTATTAATAAAAACATCGTTAACAAGCATCAGTGTGATTATAATTTTATATTAAAAATCTTGTTCGCACCAATTATGTAGTTTTGTTTTATATACTTTTTTTTAAGACACATAAACGCTTCGGTTTATGGTCCGTGAAATTTGAACAGGGGAAAAACTCACAACGTAGATAGTACGTAAACGAAGCATTACGTATTGGCATTAAAAAAATTAAAATGTTAAACTACGGTCGTTATCATAATGTCATTCATATACCTAGATACTATGATAGTTATAAAAAAAAAAAAATCAATAATTACATAAATAATAATGTTTTAATAACAAAAAATAATTGCATAGAAAAGTACTATTGTTAATAAACTCGAGGAGAAAAAAATACCTAATTATTAGCTACTATATGAAGTACATTCAAAAGTACCAAGGTGCCTGTACACTATTTTAGGATGGTTGAATACACCAAAACAGAGCCGGATTATGGTATGCGATAGCTCTTGGGCAGAATATATTACGGAAACGTTCATTGCCCCAAACAAAAGCCAAGAAAATACATTTTTACGTATTTGATAAAATGTTGTAATTTCTTCGTACATGATTCCATTTAATCATTAATATATCCGGTAAGCAATATCATGTGAAATTGCGTTATAACAATATAAATTAGTGTGTTACATATGACCTGGGTTAATAACAACAACAATTATGTTGTGTAATAGCAGTTGAAATTCAATTCTATTAACTTTTCTAGATTTTATTTTCTCAAACTCCATCAATTGTATAATTATTGAAAACGGTCTTATACCACTGCACTTTGTTACCATAACAACAAGATGAACGCGATGACCTATTTCAATATTAGGAGAATTAACTTTTACTTGTTTTGTTAATTTCTAGATCCTGGAACGTCGCTCGTTATCGATATCTTTTTTTCGTCAATATGAACGTATAATCGCTACAATGCATACAAAATTGCACGTATAAAATATTTTATTACGATGCAAATGGATGCGTGTATTAAATGTTTATGGGCTTTATTTTATTCGTATTTTTCTAAGATTTTTAAACGGAAAAAAAAAAGCTATTTAATTTGACGACCACGCGCCAAACTACGTTTAATGGTGTTAAAAAAATATAACTACTCGCGTGTGCGATGTTATAGGTACACACACGACGTAGAAAAATATGTCAATTGCACAACATTGAAGCGTAGGCGGTACTTTCGTTTACAATACCTATTCGATAATGTAGTTATTCGATTATTATTATTTTTTTTTTTTAAATTACACTCGACAAACTATACCGATGATGAATACACTCGTACGGTGAACGACACGTCAATCACAGAGTACATTCTTTAACTTTCCGAAATCGTCTTCGATAACGTCATAATGTATTATTGGTATTATTGGCGGGGAATATTATGTTTTACACTCGAAAAAACGTTTTTTTTTCCACCGACATTCAAGATACCAAATCGACAATATGATTTGAAACCGAAACGTGTATTTAAACGCCGGTATTAAAAAAAAAAAGAAAAAACTCATAAAACACTTGCTACAACGTTCGGAAAAATAACTATTATTTTACTATCCAGATTAATCCCAATCTTCTTTTATATACTTTTATCTGCACGATTAATAACAGTGAATAATTAACCGATTTTTATTATCATTATTTTGTACTTTAATAAAAACCGTGGCCGAAAACGTCGTATCAATATATTTATGGCGGAATCGTGTGATTTTATAGCGAATCAAAAATTATTTTGGTAATGAAATTATGCGGAATCATGTGCTATCCAATTTAAGTATACCATCTCACTTTTTATTTTTCTTAAAACGTTCGAAGTATTAAAATTTAGAAAATAAAATTGAAATTACTGTTATTCGTAAGATAATGATTTCTCCGTGTTTTTTTTTTTTTAATATTTAGCATTAGAATAATACTATAAATATGCGCTTAGGTAAATTAAATGTATATAAATCCGATATTTTTAAACGAAAAATGTGTTATTATTCTGGTTAAAATTTCCGATATCCGGGTTCTTTTCAAATGCTTGTCCACAGGTAGGTGAGTACCTACCGAAATAGCATAATACTATAAAAAAAACAACACAATATAATGTATGAATTATGACTTTCGCTGAAATTTTTTACACACGTTATGCAAATACGTTTTCTACAAAGGTAAAAATGAAAACTCGGCGTGCGCAAATAAATTTTTTTTTTTTTTAAAAAAAAAACAACATTCCTACAAGTATGTTATCGTGCGGCGGCGGCGGCGGAGGTTTTTGTAGGACACGCGCAATGGTCTCGTCGCACGATAAACCAGAAAATCCGTTATGCCTACGGGCGCAAGCGATCGTCTATGCGTACGTAGTATGTGCGACGGAGTAACAATATACTTGTACATTTTAAAGGTCCGTTTTTATTTTAAAAAAAAAAAAAAAAAAAAAAGGGAGCTAACCGATTTTTTCATGCGGTATTTTTCGACCGTCAAATATCGACTTTCTATTCCGCACGATCGCCGCATGTTATTATTATTATTATAATTATGGTCGCCGAGGCTGTTTCGGACGGACGAATCCCGGACCTGCCGCGCTCGTCGGCTATTGAATCGCCGTTGTTTTTGTTATTTATCGTTATTATCAATGTTGTTTTGATATTGCGTGCGCGCAATAACTACGCGATCGACGTTATCACAGACGGCCGATGGTGTGTACACGTACGCCGACCGAAAGAACGGGTTCTGTTTTATGCGTACGTAGCGACAGCGGTACGCGCACGGCTGTGATTTTTCGACTGGAAAGCCGGAAGAACGTGACCCGACTGCGTGCGGCGCACGCTCGGGAGAAGTACCTATACCACCTGCCCGCCCGCCCGCCTGGTAATCTATGTATATTGTGCGTATTTATATTATGTATGTATATATATATATATATTAAGTCCGGAGCGAGGGGAGGGGAAAGTCGGAAAGTCGGAACCATTCCTCCCGGGATTGTTGATTATTTCGCGAACGGCAAATTATGTGCATAGGCACGACGCGGAATGGAACAACGGCCGCTGCTGTGCAGCAGTAGTCGCGTGCGACGACGGCGGGACACGGAAAAAGCGAAGAACGAGGGAAAAAAAAAATAAAAAATAAATAAGAAAAAAAATAATAATAATAATAAAGAAAGAAAGAGAGAAAGAACGAAAGCTACTGGCCCCGTAGCTTATTCCGTATGCTACCCGGGCGACTCCGGTTAATGCTACGGGCTTTTCTCCGCGGATGACGACGACGGGATAACAAAGCGAACGGATCTGATTGAATAATATTTCGCTGCAATGAGAGACGTGAGTATTCGTATATATATAATATATACACTGTCGTAGTTTTTTTTTATTCTATTTTTTTTTTTTTTTCCAAGAACGCGATTTGTGAATTCCACACGAAGTCTTTGCGACGAGACGCCTGGAAAACCTTTCGTGTACCGTACTTACCGATTTCCCCCCGAAAGTTTAATAATTTATTAAGTTTTTCGCCGCTACTTTCGGAGACGCTTGATTCCCTCTGGACGAAAATATGAGTTCTAACTCGGGAGTTAAGGTTTTGTTTTTTATGCCATAGGCGGATTACAATGACACGATTTCGGTTTGATCATGAATTTCACCGTATTTTTGCGGTGTAGAGGGTGTTAGTTTTTTTTAGCCGTGTACATTCCTAAACCCCCACCCCCCTCAAATGAAACCAGAGTGATGAAATTTCTTACACGGTGTAAGTATCACGAATGATCCCTTTTGGAGATTTCAACTTTCATCCATCTTCAAAAACCATTTTTATGCTCAAAAAAAAAAAAAAAATACATCTCTAGCGCGATATTTGTCCAGTAAACAAATCGGCCGATACGAACATCGCGTTTTCACGGGGCAATGGTGTTTCGCAGCGTTTATACTCGTATCGTTCGGCAATCATCATGATGACTGTACAATTATTAAATTTCCAAACGAGAAACCGTATTTGCGTCGATCGTTACGTGTTAAAAACGCACTTTGCATAAAAAAAAAAAAAACAATCGCTCGTCAAAACTAGGTTATAAACTTAAATCGTATATTGTACACATAAGAGTATAATTATTTGAAATAAAAAAAAAAAACATTTTAACTAATTATTATACTTGCGTATATAATATGTAAAACTCCTTCGTTTAATTAGAAAAAAAAAAACCAAACAAATATGTAATCTATCATGCGGGAAACTTTCAAACTATACAATACAGGTATCAGAATCGCCCGAATAAATCGAGGACGTAAACGCATACGCGTAATCAAATTTCTCTTTCGATACACTCGCATTACCTATATTTATGAATTAATCAACTACCCGCTAATGTACGCGTACTAAATTACTATTATTTTTATTTAGAAATTATTTAACGCGTATTCGTATTATGAGCACTGTGTGCTATTACGAATAACACGAGTATATTAGATTTCAATATAATATATACAAACTCGGGTCCGGATCGGACTCGAAACATATACCGGGCTGTTTGGTATAAATGGCATTTGATGAAAATTTCGCCAATTCATATTATATCACCTATCCGGGCAGGGTGGAAAATATCGGAATTCGCGATAACATATCGATTGAAAGAATATGATATGAATTTAAAAGTATTTAAACCAGATCACCCCGTTGCGCACGTGTCCCTGCAAGAATAATAACGCCCGAAAAGTAAAGTGAGTGAAGTGCATGACTAAGAAAATATATTTGAGCGTGCTGGTGTTAAAATACGTTTGTCGGCATTTTTAAGCCAAAATATTATTGAAACGGTTATTTTTTCTCGTCCAATCGAAATTAACGTAATACGATCCCGCTGTAGTATACGAGCACCATTGACTAAACTGTGGATATTAAATCGTTTATCGAAAGTCAACGCGACCATTTCGTCTCAAATATTTCTCAAAGGTCGATAAAGTATTTAAAATCATTTTTCAAATTATTGAACATTTACTCGGAAACTTTTTGAACGTGGCTTTCGGATAAAACTCGCTTTGCTTCTGGTTATTTTAGCCCTTTTTTTTTTTCATTGTGGATGCCAGTTTATGAGTATCGTTTCGGCCCTAATATTAGAATATTCGATGTGTTTTTAAAGAACAGTAAAAGTAAATATGTTAATCGGTGGAATTCGAAAGGCGTTTTTTTTTTTTTCGGAAATATGCAACAATAATACAATATTATGATCAAATAACCATACCTAACGACTTTGGTATAGGTCTCAAAATAATCACATTATGTACATTGTACTCAAATGCGATAATAATATAATAATAGGTATTTGTTTTGTAATGTCGCGCATACGAACGTAAAGCAAATCTGAATTCGAATTAACCGTATTAATATCGATCCGAATAACCGTAACACACACACACACACATACATACACTCACAGTAATATCGTTTCTTTTTAGCTACGAGTATTGATAATATTATATCCATTCGCTTTGTAATAAATTATTATTATTATATAAATGGATTTGTTGTAAATAACCTTATCCCCGATACCATCGTTATTATTTTAATGATTTGTTAGTACAATACCGTTTGTCAACCGACTCGATTACGATGGTAATGTAAGTACCTATACACGCTATAATATATTGTGATTTAAGTATAAGTCACGCTCGAAAGGGAAAATGAAATATTATTATTACGACGCACAGTCGATACGTGATAAAGAAATATTATTCCCGTTTCGGAAGCATTATTATCGATGAAGATAACCCATTAATGTTATGCATCCGAGTTGAAATATTCCGAACCGTAAGTCACTGCAAAAGCGTTTTTTTGAGGTCTCTGCGGCAATATTATTATAAAAATAATGAAAATGTGTTTTCACGGAGTTCGCCGCGGTCCTCCGGCTATAATATACCCATGCGCTACTATTAAAATAGACTATTTTCACCGAATTCGCGAATATTATGTTCTAATAGAGGAATTATTAATACTGTTTTTTAAATTTTCAAGTGCGAATTGATTGTCTGGGAATTCAATATCAAACATCCCACTATGAACACATATTGTAAACGTTAAACGGCGTATTTGGTATACAGTCGGAGGACATTTTCGCCAAATCACCTGTTAGAAAGACTGCAGATACATCATAATGCTACTGTGATGTCCTTTGGAAATATAATATAGCGTTAACTGTTGTGTACACGCGAGACTGCGGTAGTGGCAGGTGTCATTTAAATAAAATCCTTCTGGGTTTTTTTATTCTGATAGTTGATACATTGCGATTAAACCTGTTGGAGGACGCGAAAAAATTAGTATCAATAGTTCTTTAAAAATCTATAACCGCTATCCCTTGTATCCGCGTAAAGAAACCCAGAAACCAACAAAAATTATCTGAGAACATATCAGTTTTTCCAATTTTTTAAGAAAAAACTACTAGGGAAATCAAATAAGGACCTCTACAATGTACCAACTAGATCGGAAACACTACCTATAAGAAAGTTCCTATAAAATGTTTTATTGGAGCCAGATTTCAGGAGTAGTAAAGTTGTTCATTTATGCAAAAAAAAATGCAAACACGATGGGTGGGCCACTGTTGTAGGTGAGAATTTAGGAAGGTAGATGGAAAATTAATTGTATACCTGTATGCAACGATTAATCATTGCAAACGAAAAATGATTCTGAGTGGGGTCCGGTTTTTTACATGTTTTGAAGAGCCGTAATATTTACGATTTATCTAGTTTTTCCTACGTTTTTTCTCGGTTTTTCCCAATTATCATGAAAACCTATAGGAAATAAATGATCCCATTAAAGTAACACGTCTAACGAATTTTCTTTCAAATAAGGCGCTACACATGAAAATTGGAGTAAAATTTCTGGTAAAAAAGTTAATCACAGAAAAAAAAATAAATGAACATCATAATATATTGCTCGTCTATTTTTATAAAATTGCTTAACCGAAATTTGTGTGTGGGTTTTCTAAGAAGGGTATACTGACCTGTTATATTATTACCATTGAACAACATGCTATCTCGTATAACCCTGCTATCAATATTCTTATTTATGAAATATTTTAAATAAAGATATTCAAAAATTAAAAATAACTAAAAAATATAAAAGTAAGTTTGTAATTGTTGAGTAGGTATATTTTAATGTTGGTTTTAAAAAAGACAAGTCATACTTGTACATAAACAATTATTAAATTATTAGTCTTTTTTTTGTTATGATACGTGTTTAATGGTTTTATACTTATGATTCTGAAGAAGTGTGGGAGGGGGTAGTGGTGAAGCCCTCTTCGGTAATGTGTAGTATAATAAAATTATAGGGATACTAATTTTTTTAAAGTAGCTATAGTACGACTGCTACTTTTTTCCCAAGCCAAACACTGAGTACGACTTAAATAGTAATAATTGAATCGAGTAGTGTTGAATGATGGTCGCAACAGCTGCAACACGACAGACGACCGACGACTTATCGTCGTAAAAACGGCGACGACTCGATGATAATATTTATACATTTTCATTCTCGAACGAGTCCTTTGAATGTTAATAATATTGTCCAAACGATACGGCACGGCGTCGCTCGAGAAATAAACATTATTGTTATTATTTTTGTTTTATTTTGTTTCCTTACCCGCTGCACATGACTGCCCTTGGCCAAGCTGTTATATTGATTTTTTTTTTTTTAACAATCTACGTATAAAGCGTTTACCGGTGTACCTACTCCCAGTTATTATAATATTATTCTCAGACGGAAAAAATCGTAAGTCCGGCGTATAATACCTTTTTTTTCTTGGCGTTTCAAGTTTCGGTCGTCGTCTAACGTTGCACAAAAAACACTTAAAAAAATAAAAAAAAAAACAGAATTTCAAATCCCAAAAAGGTAGTATAAAGCAAACTTAAAATTATTTCCTTACAAAAAAAAAAAAAAAAATCCAAAAACGCAGTAAAAAGCGATATGTAAAAAAAAAGAATTATGACAAACAATAGTCTTATTTAATAGGTACTTAAATCATTAATTGTTAATTTGTGCGATCCTTTCGTATTGATAGTTAACAATAAATAAACGAATTTAAAACCCGATTGTTGCTGATGTTCGTTAACGTTATATAATTCATATTGACACCTCATGTTGTAGCTTTTAAACGTAAATTTAAAAATGAAACATTTTACACACATCAAATTAGATACATTACCATAAAATATAACAATGCATTAAATAGAAAGTAATAATAATAATAATAAATGATCTAAAATAAAGGTTTTTATTCAAGACCTTTAAAATCGAAAATGTAGAAAAAAGCAAAATAACAACTTTAAAATCAATTTCGTCGATACGTAATTCGAAGTTTATGTACTAAGAAAGCTTTATCTGGCATAAGCTGGAAAAATAATATATTTAATGAACATTCACAGTTCTACTCATCTCTACACATAATATTTTATTAACGCGGTATATTTGTCGGGCCACGGGGTTCTGCGGACCGTGAAGACTTTTCCCGCCAAAACTACAATTACACTGCTTTCCCAAAGAGATCAGCAATAAGCGTCAAATTTTTAAAAATGTCGGTTATTGCATTTATATTCGGTTGAAAATCCGTAAAAGTCACTTGTCGCAATGCCTTAAAAATACCGCAGCGATCAAAATACTGGTGGATGAGAAAGTGTTCACTATTTACTAGGGAAATGGCGATCAACTGCGGCCCGTGATCATTTATTAATTGCGGCCCACCAAAGGTATTAAATCAAAAAATTGAAAAAAATAACGTCAACATTTCAGAAATTAACGCTCACGTTAAAAAAAAAAAATATCTGTTTATACAACAGAAGCCGCTTATTAGGAACACTTTAAGACCGAGGTGAAACGTGTCAGCTAACCGATCGTTTCTAATAAACGATTGGTTTTAATATACGACCAGTTTGTTCACATACATTTTGTTTCAATAACGGAATTGTATAAATTATCCGTATTACTAATAAGCGGCTTCTACTGTACTTAACATTTTTTGTTCCTATTTACAACAATCAATAGATAATAAATAATTTAATGTATCACAGTACCTACCTATATTAAGACGTATCTACAATAAAATATAGTATTCTATTAACTTAAAAATAAAAGTTTAAATTTTTGGCCAACCAAGAATTATTATTTTTTTCTTTTTTTACCGTAAGAAAAATACTGAAATATTCCTTTATAAATAAAAAAATAAAACTAAAAATACTTGAACACGTAGATTCGGAGCTTAGCCAGTAAAGCACTGGTTTTAAAATTTTGCTTTTTTATTATTATTTATCCATGAACAATTTTTCCATAAGAAATCTTGTTCCGATTTATAAGTGTACCTTTTCTGAAAATAAATTTTATCTGAAAGAAATCATTTTTTTCATAATAATTGCAAAAAATAACCAGGAAAATCCTTAGAAAAACGGGAAAATGTACGTACGTCTTTAAAAAAAACTTCGCTCCGAATCTTTTTTCATTAGCAATTGTTCATCGTTACGTACAAATTTAAATTTCCATTTATATTATACTTTCCCGATTATTCACCTACAACAGCGGCCTCCAACCCACCGTGCGAAGAATGTCCGTTTTTTGTTATTTCATAAATTAGAAGTTTTCACATCGCATTTTGGCCTCCCCCCACTCCTTTACCTGACCGTCGTGATTTTTAACGACAAATCGGGGTCTATTTTCAATCAAAAAGTCCGACATGAATCCACACTCGAGTTGGACCGGGAACCGTTGGTTTTTGTCATTCCAGCGCAAACAACGTTCCCGGATATTGTTTTACCGTGTATATAATAGCCCGGCGTAATAGCCGATTTCACGGAATACTCGAAACGTTCATTTTGCCGACAATTTCGGGGTTTTCAAAATTATAATGGCCGTCGTCTCTTTAGATAGAGTCGTTATGGTGCGATCAAACGTTTTAAAACGAGCAATAATAATTACTGTTGTTAGGTACCTGTAAATCCATGGCTGCGGCGGCGGGGCGAGTCCCGCGCGTCTGCGAGTGCAAATTGTCGGACGGCTAGGCGGGAGCGGCGGTTTTCTTATCGAAAGAGCGCGCAAAATACTTCGCGTGGGCAATCCGTTCGGCCGGCGGCGGACACGACTCGCCTGCGTGTCGTCGGGGCGCGTTCGCGTCAGACGTACAGAAAAGTTCGCACTAAGAATGGTCGCGGGCGGCGGTGGCGGCTGCGGCGGAAGACGGCGAGCGGTCGGTCATCGCGCGGTCGAGGAGACTAAATGAACCGGACCCGGCGGTCGGGACGGCTATTTATACGCGGCGGCCGGTGGCGGGCGGTCGAGACGGTACGGGCCCGGCACCCCGGCGGCGAGCGGACGATCCGGCGAGCGCACGGCGACGGTGGGAGGCGGACACGGGCTTAAACGGTAACCGCGGCGATAGGCGGCGACGGCCAGGGAGTCGGGTCTCGGCGGCGGCGGTGGCGAAAGAGAAAGTGCGCGAGTATATTATAATAATAACAATGTACACGACATCTGTGTGTGTGTGTGTGTGCGCGCGAGAGAAGAAAGCACGCGGGATGCGCTGGCCTTCGAGCGTCGCGCGACCTTGAACCGGACGCGCGCCCGGTTCCAGTCCGGTGCCGCTGCGGGCGCGGGAAAAATGATGACACGCGCAATAGGCACTTGTAGATAAACCGGCTCGGGACGAGCCGAAAGACGATCGGAAATAAATTTAAAAATTTATAAAACTAGACAATTGAACGATGATATATACACGGTCGCGGGCCGGATTTGGCCCTTGGGCCGTAGTTGGTCACCACTGATATACAGGGACCATTGGGAAAACTGCAAAGACTACGTTTTTAACAATTTTCTAGAGAGCGTGCTTATACAAATTCAAGTATTCTAATTCTGCGTCGAAAAAAAAATTCCCGCTTTCTTAGTAATATTCTTTAAATCTCATCATTAGTAATTTTAGAGAAGTCTTTTTTTTCTTTTTACCGTCATAAATCAAAACAAAAAGATGCGTTGTAGTTGTTGTAGATTGGAAGTCAAGGAGGTAGAATTTATATAAGTTTGAATCCGAACAGAATAGTATTCGAATCGTGTGTTTCCCCTTAAAGCGGTTAAAGCACATAGATAACTCGGAATGGTCCGAAAGTCAAGTTGAAATGTTGCTAAATTTTCGAGAAACGTTTAAAATAATGAACACTTTTCAATGGAAATTGCGGTTATTTTATGGCATTACATACAAAATATCTGAGTATTTTACTAATCGAAAAAGAGTTTTTAAAGAAAAAAAAAATTCGCGTCTAACGAAGAGCGGAAGAGTTATAATCAAAATCTAAATTTTAACTATACAGCTAATAATAGAAAAAGTTTTAAATCTTAAACAACTACTTATTTGAATCCACTCAAAATTTCAATTTACTCATACGAATATTCTAAAAGCTACTAAAATATTTTTCTAAATTCTGAAAGCTACTAAAATATTTTTCTAACGAATATTTTGAAGTCTTAAAGTTTGATTTACGCTAAAAATTATGAAAATATGCCGTGTAATTTTCCCCTTTTTTTTGTCGTTTCAATGTACGAGATGTCCGACAAAAATGCCAATGTATCAAGCAGCCGCTAATATGCGAACAAGGATATCTTCGAATATTAATCGATTGTCCAACTGATCAGTTCGCGGCAGTATTATAACGAAAAAGCTTCTTTTTTTCTCTTTTTTTTTACAAAGAAATGACGAGGTTTTTTGAGTGATTTTACTTTGGATAGAGAAATTTGATTTTATACGTATATGCGTTTAGTAACCCAGGTCATGTAAACCAGGATATAGATAAGGTGTTTAATTTTTGAAACAATCGACTGCGCAAGTGAATTTAATGTAAATGCATTGCATAAAATAAAGTGAACGGAATCCCTATTTTTATTTAAGATAAAATTATCAGTTTCCTTTAGACTTCGGAGCTTTATTCATTGTTACTAAGACATTTTTTAGAAAATTTGTATTATCCAAATTTGTTTCATTAAAAACGAATTCGTTAATACCACTTAAATTACCTATATACATAATCAAACCCTGTTTGACTTTATTTTTACTGAGTAAACATATTATGCGTAAAATAATATTCGAGGGTGTCGCAGTTTGTTTGTAATACAGATTTTTTATGAACAAATGTGTGTGAAAGAAAAACAAAATTTGGAAGAATTGTCTTCCTGATGTGTTTGCTGAAAGTTCTGTTAAGTTTGGTTAGTTCTGGGGAACGTCTCCCGATTTTCGGTATATACGGTCTCCTTTCAAAATTTTTCCCACTTAAACCGCCGTATAAACGTATGTTTGTATCAACAGTTACTTACAATAGTATTAATATTGGCACTTTCGATTGAATTCGTTTTGTGAAAAATTGTTTTCTACTCGTCGTTACAATCTGTATTGTATTATAATTATAGATATCGGTCACCCGATAGTATATTTTTGCTCGTGCCGTAATTATACGAGGATCGTCAACAAAATAAACGACTGGCGCCGATGAAAATGACATTATACCCTAATAGTTATTATTAACTCGCCGAGAAATCATTATTATTATTAATCACTTTTACGTCGATTAATATTTTCGGTAGGTCCGAGTCAACCGACCGCAGTCCTTTAGCAATAACATTAACTACCTATCTATTATACAGAGTGCCCCACAGAGATATGACAGATGCAATATATGCAAATATGTTCGTTCTGTTCAATATTTAAAATATTTTTTTTTAATAATTATATTGCAACCTTGCTCAAATATGATAACTTGTATTACGATTCTTGTACTTTGTATTTTTTTCTAAAATTAAATTTAAAAAAATAGTTTAACAAATCCAAGATAGATATTCTATACGTTTATTTCGAAATAAAATTTGGGTGTTGCAAGCAATTAATGTTTATTAATGATGGCATTTGGTTTCTACGATTTATTTGGAGTTTATAAAAATTATTTACAAAACTCTTTTTCGTGGGGAAATTGGTATTTTGCTTGATATTATTAATTAAAATCGGGCATTTAAAACGATTTAAACTATCGCTAACTCCAAACAAATGTAGACAATTGACGATTCGTCGTTTACTAAATATTTTGTACGGCAAAATCTAATTTCAAAGTGAACGTATAAAATCGCTTTCTTGAAATTCGTATACAAAATTTATTATGATTATTTTAAAAAGTATACGAAATCCGTAGCGCAAGACTCTAGAATAGTTTTTATCATAAAAAGAAAAACGAATGAAAGTCCATTGCATTCGGATATTCGTGGGACGCGCTGTATACCTATGTAGTTACCGTATAATAATAATAATAATAATATTATTATTATTATTATTATTATGATACCACGGTGATTGATTATTAATGCCGTCCGCCATTGGTACTCGGACCGACGAGAATCACAGGTAGGTGTAGGGAAATAGGTAATTCAAAAAATCATATTATTATACATGTACGTACCTGTGAAGTATAGCCAACAGGTAAACCTACCGATACCTGGGTGACTAATTGACAGAATATTATTATTAATCTACCGTTGACGCGGACAGGGGTTACGAATTATACGATTTCACTCCTCCCCTGTTCCCCCACCATTTTTCCGCCAAAAGAAAAGATAGTAATAGTGTTAATTTGTTTCACGAACTTTAGCGATATATTTTCATTAAATCGACTATGAAATGCAATAACACCGTTACACGTCATCCTATCCGTTCGATACTCCTTAAAAAATAGGAGAAAAAAAACCAGATATAAATGTAATCATTATGTATAAACGCGTATATTATTATTATGTTTCGTAATTACTGCAGAATCTTTGTACGAGGACTTATGTTTTCGTCGCGTCAATTTATTACGTTACTTTTATTGCGATAAAATACAAGATATGGTTTCCTATGGGTTTCGTTTCAATAATGGAGAATGCAAATTCACGATATTTAACTAGGTATTCATCGAGTTAGGGATTTCGAAAATAAAAATCGGAAAGATAGGATACCATAGAAGTATTTAATTTATTTCTGCTAACAAAAAAAAAAAAAACTACTAAATTACGGTCGTTTTTTTTTTTTTTTATCTCTGAGTACACCATATGATAAAGCTCATATTAAATTCACAAGCATTTTTGATCGGTTAAAAGCATATTATCCAAAAATAATCAGAATGTTTTGAAATGTTCACCGCTTTGAAAAAAAAAAAGGTTTATAAAAGTATTCTGTGAAAGTATCAGGACTTTACAAGTATGTAACCGATTTACAAAAATAAACAAAAAACACATAGTAAACATAGTAGTATCTGAAATAAGGAAATTTTTTTTTCTTTACACTAAAACTCATTGTTGATATTCAAGAAACAATTCTAAGTAGAATGTAAAATTCACATTCCACAACGCGATCAAAATTACACTAGCTCTACCCCCCGGATAAATTGCTCGTCTACTGAAAAAGTCATTTAATAAACTTTTGAGCGTTTTTATTGCTCCAAAAAATAGTTTCCGAAATGAAAATCGAATTAACAAGTAAATAATATATATAGTGTGATATACTTAAAACCTGAATGCTGTATGGGAATGCAGCTCGATCGACCCGTGAGAAGAACACGACTCTACGACGTTTTACTCAATCGATTTCACACGGTTCTGCAACACGCTTTATTATGTTTCGAGTGATATTCTTGTTGCTATTTGTTATCACGACGATATAGGTACAGTCGACCGCGTTACACACTTTGGGAATAATAATCAGACTAAAGATTTAACAATTGGATTTTTTTTCCAAAATACTCAAAAACTATAGCAGATAGTATTTGACTTGGAATTTATACCGCACAGAACGGAGCAGTTTGAATAATTATTTAAAATTGTATTTAACACGTTTCGAACATTTTTAGATTTTTGTGCTGTTTTTCGATTTTTCGAACCAGTTTTGTTTTTTTAATAAATGTTTAATCGAAATTTTTTATATTTTATAAATTAACAATATTTTGCGTGCCGCAAGGTTTTGACGGTAAAATCGTTGTTGTATGGTATCTATATAGTTTGTTATATTACGGCATTAATATTCGACTTATAAACCACATAATAATATCATCTATTCGCAATCGATACGGAATTCCGGTTTCGGACACCGACCGATCGTGTTCTATTTTTTCATTTTTTTTTATTCCTCATTCACGACTACCCAAAATATTTAACATTTAAAAGAACAATTTTTTAAAAGAGATTCTCTGTG